GGCGGCGGCGGCGGCGGCGGCGGCGGGGGAGCCACGCATGTGGTGCCGCAAGGTCCGCTGACAGCGTTTGAACTCTTCTGCCGCGACGCGGAGGCGCGGCGAGTGATTGAGGACTGCGGTGACCTGCAGGATGAAGATTCATTGGAGGGGCGCTGCAGCAGCCGGCGACTTCTCGCAGAGGCGTGGCTCTCCGCGGACGCAGCGACACGAGAGCGTTTCGAGACTGCTGCTGCCACTGCCGTTGCTGCCCTTAAACCGTCACGTGCAGCTGGTGTGAAACAGTTGCGCAGCAGCAGGAATGCCAGCACGAGCAGGAGGAGGAAGACGCCCACAGCAGCAGCCGCTACCACAACCGCTTCCTCCAGTAATAATGCAACGATCGTGTCAGATACTGCGCCGCCCTCCGAAGGGGATTCCACGGCGATGGCAAATACAACAGAGACAGGGGTGCGGCGAGGCGCTGGGATGTTGGTAACGTCATATAAGCGGCCACCTACGTCTTACAGACTATTCTGCAAGCGCCAGCGCGGAGTGTATGGCAGCAACGACGCACTAATGCGGGCCTGGAGAGGGATGAGCTCTACGGAGAAGCAGCCGTACGATGACGAGGCGGCTGCCATCCGCGTGGCGCTGCGGAAGTAACGATTGCTACTTTGTGGTGTACGGCCAAGTTTTTTTTGTTTTGTCTTCTTAATAACGTCTGTATATCTTGTTTGTCGCCTTTACGATCTTTGAAGTGGAATAGATTTTCCTTGCCAGATGACATGAGGAACAGAGTGAGGTGCTATTTTTCTTTTTCTCTTTGAGGGGGCGGCGTGGCCGCTGGGCATCTTTCTGCTGCTGCTGCTGCTGCTGCTGTTGTTGTCAGATCTCTGCTGTTGTCGGTGCAGCTCTTTGTATCCATGCGTGCATGGGCGGGCGTTGCGGGAGGCNGGAACAGAGTGAGGTGCTATTTTTCTTTTTCTCTTTGAGGGGGCGGCGTGGCCGCTGGGCATCTTTCTGCTGCTGCTGCTGTTGTTGTCAGATCTCTGCTGTTGTCGGTGCAGCTCTTTGTATCCATGCGTGCATGGGCGGGCGTTGCGGGAGGCGTGGGGAATAGAGTTGTCACATTTCATTCGCTCACGTATTTGTCTGCATTCCCGTGCTGTTCTTTTGTCTGTGTGTTTTGGTTTTCCTCGCCTGTTGTTTTATTAGTTGCGGGAAGGTGCGGGGGCCGCACGCTGATTGCGCAGCAGCGGTGTGCCGATGGGGATGCACACGGCACACGCGTTCAGCCAAACACCACCACCACCAGCAGCGAGAGCGGCGCGCACCGCTGCCAACGCTGCCACCACGCCCGGCAGTCTAGAGGCCGCTGCCGTGGTCCCGGTGGACGCGGCGGCGACGCTTTACTTCGTCGTGTTCCCGTGCAACTGCGCCCCAATCTTCCACTCCAACCGCATCCCGCTCGTCGAAGACGCGCCGCCGTACGCCGTCGGCGACGTAGTGTACCTCGGCCGCGCGGAGGAGGTGGCGCAGCAGAAGTTGCAGGAGTTGGCCTTCCCGCTCGGCTTCGGCTGCAAGAGCGCCGAGCTGCGGAGCGGGCCGCTGTGGAGCTGCCGCCTCGAGTCGGTGCGGAAGAAGGGCGAGGTGCGCTACCACCGGCTCATGATCACCTCGACGTTTGTCGTACTTGTCGCTTCTGAAAGCGGCGAGCTGCGCACGATGCAGACGAAATACGCCGCCGCGGCGCTCGTCATCACTTGCCCACCGGACACCTCGCAGTACCAGTTCCTTGTGGAGAATTTCGACAGCGTTGTGCGGAATATGCTACACATTGCACTCGACTTCGCAATGGAGGCGGCACAGCTCTTTTTTGTCAGGCTTTCACGCACCACCCCAGCGGAGCAGCTGATGGCGGAGCTGGAGAAGCACCCGAGTGCGCTGAGAACGTACCACACGCTGGGGGCTGTACTTGCCAACGCCTTTGGCAGCACACATACTATTCCGCGGCTGCACAGCCGTATTGGTGAACTCACTGTTACCAGTCCGCCGCGTACTTCCTCGAGCAAACCACAACATGTGAGTGGTTCGGTGGGTTCCCTGCTGTACGATGCGCTGGGTGGGCTTTGCCGCTTTAGCGAAGAATTTGCCACCAGCGTGGTCGCTGGATTGTTGTCGTTGTCTAACTGGGAGGGATGCGGCCTCGTCCGCTTCAGTGCCGAGGATAAGCAGCAGCAACTGCAGCAACAGAGCGGGGATAAAGACATTTACAGCGATTATTGGAGGGAAATGGAGGAGCAGGAGGCGAAGAAGGTAGGCGGTCCCCTCTCAGGGGTGCAGGAGGAGTGCAACACGAACGACATTGCCTGCCCCTGCCGTAGCGGAGCCCCTCAGAAGCAGCAGAAGCAGCAGCCAGACACAAGCTCTTCACCAATGGTATCCTCAGCCATGTCCGCAACTGTGCGTAGTGCGCACGCGAGTGACACTACGGCCACTGGTGGTGATACGATTGCTACATGCCCACTCTCTTCGCAGCGTGTGGGGCGCGTAGTGATTTTTTGCACGGATCCAGACCTGGCGCGCTCTCTTCTTATTACGGCCGCTTTCTTCTTTCGTGACCGTTGTATCACCGCTGGTGCGTCGCTTCAATCACGCGAGTTCAGCCCATTCGCTGGTAAAGTAGAGTCGTGCGCCTATCCATCGCTGCCGGTGCAGTGGGTGATGGAGGAGTACGATCCGAATCGCGCGGACCCGCTCCTGTGCTTGCCTCACACCGTCGAGAATGCGTTGCTGATCATTGCGCCGCGCACGTTGCTGTGTCGACGCCTGCGTTTCTCGAAGACGTTCACCTCCAACCCCATTCTTGTGGAGAGGTTTAAGGAGCGCCACCAGCTGGTGCACCCATTTCAGCGGCAAACCCTTGAAGCGGTGCAAATGCTTCCGGATGACACGATACGCGCAGTGTTGCGTCAGGCGCGGTGGCTGCAGAAAAGTAGCGGCGGTGCGGTGAGTTGTGCAGAGTTTCTCGAGTCGTCCATGGTTCGCCTCATGCGGCATAGCCGTGCGTGCCGCCTGCTGCTGCGGGAGCACCTTAATCATAATGATCATGATCATCAGCAACATCAGCAGCAGCAGCAGCAGCAGCAGCAGGAAGAGTTGGTGTCCTCTTTTTTCCTTGGTTCCTTTGGAGGAAGAGAGGAGAGCGGTTCTCACCTGTCGCACTGCAGCTCGCTCTCATATTTGAATTCCCCGACCTCACTGCGGTAGCTGAATTGTGAGAGCCGCCGCCGTCGATGGCGCGGCTCAGAAAGCGTGATTCCCACCCCTACCTCCGCCACTGTGTGGGACTCTCCGTCGCCCAGCTCGCCTGCTAGCTTTGCGTAGACCGGCTTCGGGGACGTGTGGTCGGAGAGGCAGTTAATATAGGTGATGATAGAACGGAGGGAAGAGACACCGCTGTTTCTGTGAGGTGAGAAGACGTGTGGTATAGAGGAATTTGCCCCGCTTGATATCTGAGGGAAGGTGGGGAATGTCAAGGTGATGCATATTATTCACCACAATTTCCCTTTCTCATTATCACCACCACCACCACCACCACTATCGCCAGCCCTTTTTGAATGTGGTTTATTCATCCCATGGTGAGAGTGGTTCTGAATTCTCCAGCTTATGTGACGTGATAACTGTTCCTTGCATTCCTACTGCTGTTTCTGTTGTCGCCTCAGCCAACGCCTCTTTGTTCTGTAGTTCATCTTAAACAACGAAAAAAAAAAGTGAGAGAAGTGTGTCGTCCTCTTTCTTGCGAGGAAATCAAACTGTCCCGAGAGCAACAAAAGATAGTTTTGGAGACGCTGTTGTAAACGGAGCCAAGCAATCCGGTGTGGTGAGGTGTGTGTCACCATCCTCTGTTCTATACCTTTTGGCCTCTCGTGCCAGCATTCGCCTTTCTCCCCCGCGCCTTTGCGCACTTCTGCACTGGTGAGGAATAAGTGGGTGTAGGGAATTGAGGGGACGCCTAGGCGCGCTCAGTAGGTATAGATAATATATTGTTTACATATAGTGAAAACCAAAGAAAGGGGGCTCTGGCTTATAGGGTAGGCTCTTTACAATCCGTTATACCGCTGCGCTGAGGTCAGCGGCTGTAGACACGTGACGCAACATGTTATCCTCCCGGCAACTGCTCGCACGCCCCGTCGCGATGGGGTCGGTCGCGTCGTACCGGAAGGGGAGTTACCACATCGTCCCAAAGAAGCACACCGTGGGGCGGCGCATTGCGGTGCGCAGTTACCTCGACCGTAACCGCACTGAGTTGTCAGACCGCACGTATATGCCGCAGAAGGCGTGGTTCGAGGCGTACACGCCGAAGCGCTTCGAGCGGGAACACGAAGAGCTAAGTCACAACTTCTACAACCTGGAGACGAAACTTATCTGGACCGCCTTCGACACGCCTGAACTCATCGGTATTTTGCTGCACGATGAGACGATAAAGGGGGCGAAGCACCTCTACGACGCGGAGTTCCTCGATGCCGCGCTGCACTGGACGCGTGAGAGCCGGTACTGGCGCTGCATAGGCATCACGAAGCCGTTCTATAATAAGACGACGCTGCGGGCGCACTGCTGGCACGACGGCGGCATGCAGGTCGGCACGCTTGTCCTCTCACAGGCGATGCGTCACGCCTTAATGGACCTCGAACGTGCAGTGCGACGGAAAGAGTTGGGCCTCGAACCGAACTACAAGTGGGACCGCTGGGGACCCATCGGCTTCATTGACGGCGCGCAAGCGGACTACCTCCCACGTTTTGCCCACAACCCTCATGTTGACCCGGACGGCGTGGACGTGACGGAACTTGACGTGGCGCCATTCAACACGCACGAGCAGATAAAGGAGCGCTACGGCGAGTTTATTGAGCCCGACCTGGCGCCGTTTGATGGTGTCTTTGGCGCGCCATCGCACGGTGCCATGTCGCTTGACGATGTGCCGCAACAGGCGGCGGTACAGCTATACCGCGACCTTAAAGAGCAGGCAGGAATACCAGTGCTCCTGGGCGGGGGGGCGGAGATTGCACCGGCAGATATGCGAGCGCTCTTCTACCTCAGCGCCGACCCACAGCGGCTGGCGAGGGCGCAGGGAATTGGTTCATGGCAGGAGGTTCGTGAGATGCTGACACCTGTGCAGGAAGCAAGCGACGAAAAGATTGAGGCACTGCGTCTCTTACAGAATACACGACATGATGCAAACCGTGTACGGTGTTTCTTTGAGGAGAAGTGTGGCTTCGCAGACTTTATGCATACACCGGATAAAGTCATCACAGCGGCGGTGTTGTGTTATCTGCAGGAGTTGCATCGGATATGCACCGAGACGGCGTGGGGCAAGCCACTTGCGGTGGCCCTGACCGATGCGGAGCGGGTAGAAGTTATGGGGAAGGAAGCATTTTTAGTGTATCGTCACATTGAGGATGCAATACTTGATAAGCGGCGACGCACATGGGCGACGCGCTTTTCCGGCGAGGCGAACGAGGAGAGCACGCTCGACTATCTTCTGGAGAACTTTGGTCGTCGTACGGAGCAGACGCGCAATGTTGGGTCAACTGGCACGGAGTTTGACAGGGAGCAGGAGCCCATTGGCCGACAGGTGCAGCGGCGCGTCATTGACGCGGACAAGGCCAACAAGTTGGCGGTGGCGCGGCAGCAAAAGGGTAAGATGTGGTCCAAAAAGAAGAGCGTCTTTGACTCCCTCCATCAGAAGCAGATGCAGAATATTACGTATGGCGTTCGTTAGAGGGATGTATCGATTCTTGCCTTGCTGCGTGTTGTTTCACTTGCTGTTCTAGTTATTGTAGTTGTTGTT